TGGTTGCCATGTAGGATCAGTTGTTGTGGAACAGCGAACGGAGGGCTGATCTCCTCTCCCCCACAAAGTGCGATGGGGATTTGATGCTTTTTCTTCTTTTTTTTTTTGGTTTTTTTTTTTGTTTCCTTTTTCAAAAAAGTTCGATTGCAAAAACGGATTGATGGGGCGATGCCATGTACAATGAAAGATCAGTGGTTGTGGAACAGCGAACGGAGGGCCGATCTCCTCTCCCCCACAAAGTGGGATGAAGATTCGCTGTTTTTCTTTTTTTTTTTGGTTTTTTTTTTTTGTTTTCGTTTTCGAAAAAGTTCGATWGCAAAAACGGAATGATGGGGCGATGCCATGTAGGATCAAAGATCGGAGGTTGCCATGTAGGATGAGTTGTTGTGGAACAGCGAACGGAGGGCTGATCTCCTCTCCCCCACAAAGTGCGATGGGGATTTGCTGTAGGATCAGTGCGCTGGGGATTCGCTGTTTTTCTTTTTTGTTTTGTCTTTTTTTTGTTTTCGTTTTCGAAAAAGTTCGACAGCAAAAACGGAATGATGGAGCGATGCCATGTAGGATCAAAGATCAGTGGTTGCCATGTAGGATCAGTGGCTGTGGAACATCGAACGGAGGGCTGATCTCCTCTCCCCCACAAAATGCGATGGGGATTCGCTGTTTTTTTTTTTTTTGGTTTCGTTTTCGGAAAAGTTCGATTGCAAAAACGGAATGATGGGGCGATGCCATGTAGGATCAAAGATCAGTACGGGGGTCCGGCGGATTGGAAACGCCGGACCGCCGACACCCGTGCACGGTCGGGGGTCCGGCGTTCCCGAACCGCCCTACCCCCTCCGCCACCCGTGCACGGTCCCGGCATTCCCGAACCGCCCTACCCCCTCCGCCCTTTCCGCACGGGGGTCCGGCGGATTGTAACGCCGGACCTCCAACACCCATGCACGGTCGGGGGTCCGGCGTTCCCGAGCCGCCCTACCCCCTCCACCCTTTCCTTACGGGGGTCCGGCGGATTGGAAACGCCGGACCTCCGACACCCGTGCACGGTCGGGGGT